AGAGATTACACAGCTTGGCTAATGGTCATATCCAGTCAAAAGGATTTTTTTTTTCTGTCTGCCTCAGGATACCTTAAGGGCAGGTCTGGAAAGGCATGAGGATCTGGAAATTGAACCACAATATCCTGAGCCTGACTGCTTTTGCTTAAGCAGGCACTTAAACAACTGAGCTAATAGGCAGGCCCCTCATATCCAGTCAAAAAGAGTACATCATCCCCATGATGTGACTCTAACTCTATCTTCACTTTGTACTCCCAGCACCCAGCATAACTGTGATGCATAATACCCAGAAATTGCTGTTGATACTTCAAATTATCTGTAATACAGAAAACAACTTTAAAAATTTTAAAGTTTTTATAACCAATACCAAAGCTCCCAAGGTGTTGTGTGCTTTATTTATAGTGGAAGACAATATAAACAATCAATTTCTCTTTGTCCTTTATGCCCTTAAAATTAAGCTATGTAAAAATGTTCATTTCAAAGAGGAAAATTTAGTAAAAATTGAATTCTTTTCCTCAAAATTGAGCTTGTTTTTTGCCCATTTGGATCTTGTGTGCCCTTACACTCACACTAGTATGTATGTACTTGCTACTCCTTGATTTGCTTTAATCTAGACAGAGGATTCTATTTGTGGAATTTTAAAATACAACCACATCCTTTAAATTACTTCCTTGAAACATTATAAAGTCCATTTTTGGTTTTGGTTTTAGTTTTCTTTCTGTTTTTTGGTTGGTTTTTTTTTTCCCCCTATCTTTTTGAAACAGGGTTTCACTATGCAGTTCAAACTGGCCTTGAACTCACTTTGTAGCCAAACTCAAAGTGAACCTCTTACCTTAGCCTTCAGTACTGGGATTATAGGTGTGGATCACCATGCCCTGTGAAAATCTCTTTCTTTAAGGTGGCATTTTTTAAAAAGTGAGTAAGAACATGTTAGAAGTTCAAGGACATCATAATGCATACAGATACCATTTTTTTTTAAATAAGCTTTTATCCTGAAGTTAATGGGGAGCTTTTGAGTATCTGTAAACTTGAGAAAGAGGGCTGGCCTGATAGCTCAGTGGACTAAAGCACCTGCTTAAACAGAGTGCATCAATCTCAATCCCCTGATCCCCTGGAGTGCTGTGCTGGCCCCACCCTGAGGGCGTGCTGAGACTGCCCTTGAGACTGGGCCTTGGTGGCATGTGCCTGTAATCCCTGCCCTTGGGAGGCTGAAAACAGAAGAATCACTAGGAGTCCCATCTATGTAGCGAGACCCTGTAGACCCTGTCCTAAATTGAAAAAAAAAAAAAAAAAGAAGAAAAGAAAAGAAAGAGATTAACAGAACTGTCATCTATAGCAAAAATTGCAGGTATTTATTAAACTTTTGTTTGAATGTTTGTACTTTTAGAGAACTCATTTCTCCCCAAATCTACCTATTCTACATGATAAAAATCTATCAATCTGGGGCCGGGGAGATGGCTCAGTAGAATAAGTGCTTACCTGGCAAGCGCAAGGACCTGAGTTCAATCCCCAGTTTTGCCAAAAATAAATAAATAAATAAAAATTCATCAATCTTTGTGTCATAGTATCTATTTGTTGGCAATTCTGGCCTCAGGAGTAACACCAGTCTTTCTTCAAATATAAGAGTGTGAATTAGATAAGCTAGGGCAGGAAAGAGCTCTAATGTCTCTAATATGAACTCCTTTTAGGTCAGCTCTTTCGTCTCCCCTCTAAATCAAATACTTTTTCTCCAAAACAAAAATCAGATCCAACTTTATTCTACCCATCTTCCTAAGACCAATTCTAATGTGTCAGTAAAATTTGTATTCTTATCTATCTTTGTGTCTTATAAAATGCTTTGTCCTGTGCCCAGAAATAGATCCTTATATGTATGGTCAATTTTTTTTATTCTTTTTTTTTTTTTTAACCAGGAATCAAATTCAGGACCTTGAACTTACCAAGCAGTCACTGTGCTGCTGAGCTATATCCCTGGCCCTGGCCAAATGATTTTCAGTAAGGATGTGAAGACCATTCAGTACAAGAAGAGACAGTTTTTGTTTGTTTGTGTCTGTTTTTTTTGTTTTGTTTTTTGTTTTGGTGGAACTGGGGATTGAACTCAGGCCCTTGTGCTTGCCAGGGAAGCTCTTATTCTACTGAGCCATCTCCCTGGCCCCG